CCCCCCCCCCCCCCCACCTCCAGAGGATCACCTGGCATGGGGAATGTGAGAGGTGTCCTGTCCAAAGCTCCTATCGGCGGGATCACTGCCCCAAACATGATGTGGCCCACAGTACCCCCTTGTGGTGGTAGGGAGTCTGTCGCTCTTTGTTCTGGGGAAAGGAGAGACCCAGTTTCCTTCTCCCTGGGAAGATTTACTCCTAAACTAGATCTGCCCCTGGCATCTGCTCCAGGTCCAGTGGTGCCCTGGAGGAAGTGTAGTTTGGGAGGGTCAGGCCTGCCCTTGCAATGCCTGGAAGAAAGGCTCTGAAACCAGGGGTGAGGAGATTTGAGGACTGGAAATGACCCCTGCTTTCAAGGGGTACTCTAGACTTGCCCTGTGCTAAGTGGTAAACACCACGTGTGGCTATGGAGCATTTGGAATTGAGGTGAGCTCTAAGTGAAAATACACACTGGATTCAAACTTAGTACAGAAAATAATGTGAAATGCCTCTTAATATTTTTTATGTGATGAAATGATGATATTTTGGGTTAAATATATTTAAATTAACTTATTATATATAAAATTAACTCTTTTTTTTTTACTGTTCACTATGGTGCTAGAAAATTTAAAATTATGTATGTGTCCTGCATTATATTTCTACTGGGTAATGTTGCTCTAACGGGTGGGCTTTGGGCCAAGAGAAGGGGCCCATGGGACAGGTTCCTTGCGTTAACTTCTGTAGCTACAGGTAGCCTTTTGGAGAGGTGGGGTAGGTCTGGCCTTTGTGCGTGAATCCTGGGCAGGCCCCTTACAGGTGTGTGTGTCGGACAGGGGGACTGTTCTACCTGGAGATTTTGTCTTCGTGTTTAGGAATGTAAATTCTTTGCCATTATTGGTGGGATGTCTCTGTGTGCTTAGCCTTAAATGAAAAAGCAGTGGGGACTCTCTAGGTTGGGATTTAGGGACCAAAATGAATTTGCCTCTCCTGTAGCATTAATGTACCCTTAGACTTGCAGTGCCTGGGATATTTTTGTTTGTTTTCTCTTTTAGGCTTTTGTAAATTGGACAGAGGCTAAATTGACTTGGAGTTTTTTCAAACAGTCTTTCTTGAAACAGATTTTGACAGAAGGTGAGTAAAAGGTCATCCTGAGCAGTTAGGAAGCCATAGCATAAGCAAGGGGATCCCATCCCGGCCTCCTGCTGTCCACCATCCTGGGCAGAGGAACCTCAGAAACGGGGCTTCTCATGTAAGGAGAGGGAACCTAGCATCTGCTTAGCTTGATACTTTACTTACTTGTCTTTGTTTATTATGGATGAAGAAACTGGGGGTCAGTGAGGTTATGTAACTTCTTCGGGGTCTTTTAGTAATGAGAAATAATTTAATTTTGAACCCAAGTCTATCTCCAAAACCCCATGTTATGTCATTTAAATAAATGTATCATAAAAGGATTATATCAATTATAGAAAAATCTGTAGACTCATTATCCTATTCCTTTTTATACACTTTTTTTTTGAACTTTGTAAAGAAAGAGAACCAGGTTTTCATCATTTTATTTTCTTAAACAGTAAGGTTCACCTTTATAATAGTTTGGTCAGCCTTCCACTTGTCTAAGGCTTTCCAGGGTAACAGTGCTAGACCTCTCGATGCAGAGAGGAGCTAAACATACATACATCTAATTTTTTTGTGTATGTATACTGGTTTATTTATACCCAGATTTAGTTCGAAGAATGAGATTTGAGGTAGCTGTAAGCTGCTGAAAGTAGTATTTTCTCTCTCTACATAAGTTTCATATGTCTACACACCTGTATACCGAATACTGAACATATTTTTAAAACTTTTCAAAAATTGTCTTTTAATTATAAAAATACATAACTCCATTACAAAAATTTGGGAAAACAAAAAGTTTCCAATAAGTGTACAAATTCATGCACGGGTGGGGTCTGGCCAGCCCGGCCCCAATCGGGGCAGATCTGGCCCGGGCCTGTTGGGAGGAGGAGACGGTGGGAGGTTGGCTGGCTGGCACACCCTGATCAGCTGATCAGGGCCAGGCTAGCTGTGGGGAGGGGCAGTGGGTGATTGGCTGGCGGGGGTACCCATTGGGGGCAGGGCCGGCCGTGGGGAGGGTCTGTGGGCAGTGGGCCGGCCAGCCCCACCCCCAAATGGGGTGGGGGGGCCGATCGAGGGTCAGCACCTGGGGGAGGGCCCATGGGAGGTTGACTGGCCAGCCCCCACCCCAATTGGTGTTGGGGGGGTGCCGATCAGGGTGCACGAGTTTGTGCATGGGTGGGGTCCTGCCAGCCCACTCAGATTGGGGGGGGGGCTGATTGGGGGCAGGGCTGGCTAGGGGGAGGGGCCATGGGTGGTTGGCCAGCCGGCCCCTGATCAGAGTCAGGGGCCAATCGGGGGTGGAGCTGGCTGGGGGAGGGGCCGTGGGCCAATCGGAGTGGAGGAGGCCCATTGGGGGTGGGTCTGGCTAGGGGGAGGGGCCACAGGCAGTTGGCCGGCCAGCCAGCCAGCCAGCCCTGCCCCTGATCAGGTTGGAGGAGCTGATCTGGGGTGGGGCTGGGCAGGGAGAGGGGCTGCAGGAGGTTGGCTGGCCGGCCCCATCCCCATATCTGGCTAGTTCGCTGGCTGCAGTGGGCGTCATAGCGACTGGCCGTTCTGGTTGTTACGGCTTTCCGGTCACTGTTTTTTTTATATATATAGACTAGAGGCCCAGTGCACAAAAATTTGTGCACTCGGGGGGAAGGGGGGCTGTCCCTCAGCCCGGCCTGTGCCCTCTCGCAGTCTGGGAGATAACGACCTGCTGGCTTAGACCTGCTCCCGGGTGGCAGAGGGCAGGCCCAATCCCTAGGTGCAGCCCCTGGTCAGGCTCAGAGCAGAGCCGATTGGGAACTTGAGGCGCCTTCCCCTGTCATGCATAGAGCAGGGCGGATCTGGAGGTTGCGATGCCACCCTCAGTCATGCTCAGGGTAGGGCCGATTGGGGGGTTGGGGCACCGCCCCCTGTCACACACAGAGCAGGGCCCGTGGCGGGGGGGGTTGGGGTGCCGCCCTCTATCACCCACAGAGGAGGGCTGATCAGGGGGTTGGGGCGCCTTCCCCTGTCACGAACAGAGCAGGGCGGATAGGGAGGTTGTGGCTCCGCCCCCTGTCATACACAGAGCCACAGGACGATCAGGGGGTTTGGGCGCTGCCCCCTGTCATGCTGATCCCGGTGCCGGGAGGCCTCGCGGCTCCACTGATCCCGGTGCTGGGAGGCATATTACCCTTTTACTATATAGGATAGAGGCCTGGTGCACGGGTGGGGGCCGGCTGGTTTGCCCTGAAGGGTCTCCTGGACCAGGGTGGGGGTCCCCACTGGGGTGCCTGGCCAGCCTGGATGAGGGGATGATGGCTGTTTGCAGCTGGTCACACACCCTTCAAGGTGGGGGTCCCCACTGGGTGCCTGGCCAGTCTAGGTGAGGGGCTGAGGGCTGTTTTCAGGCTGGTGGGTGACTGAAGCTCCCAACCGCTCCTTTTTTTCTTCTTTTTATTCTGGGCCAGCTTTAGCTCTGAGGCTTGGCTCCAGCTCTTAGGCCTCCGCTGCTGAGAGCAGGTATCTGGTTTGTTTGGGTTCTATAATCAAAACCCTGTTTCAACTCCAGCTCTGAGATCCCGGCTGGCTGAAAGCAGGTTTCTGGGGTTTTGTTTAGCTTCTATATTTGTAACAATGTTTCAAACTGCAAGTTCAGAGGCCAGCAGCGGCAGGGGGGGAACGTTGGAGTCCTCCGTCACTGAAGCAAGCAAGCCTCATGTTCACTTCAAGCTGCCTGGCTGCCGGCCGCCATCTTGGCTGGCAGTTAATTTGCATATCGCCCTGATTAGCCAATGGGAAGGGTAGCGGATGTACGGCTAATTACCATGTTTCTCTTTTATTAGATAGGATTATTTTCCTTCACACATCCCCGTCTTTTTTTAAAAAATATATTTTATTGATTTTTTACAGAGAGGAAGGGAGAGAGATAGAGAGTTAGAAACATCGATGAGAGAGAAACATTGATCAGCTGCCTCCTGCACATCTCCCACTGGGGATATGCCCGCAACCAAGGTACATGCCCTTGACCGGAATCGAACCCGGGACCCTTCAGTCCACAGGCTGATGCTCTATCCACTGAGCCAAACCGGTTTCGGCTATCCCCGTCTATCTTTAAAAATATATATTTTTATTGATTTTTAGAGAGAGAGGAAGGGAGAGACAAAGAAAAAATTCAATGTGAGAGAGAAACACCAATCTGCTGTCTCCAGCACACCCCCTACTGAGGATCAAGCCCAAAACCTGAGTATATGCCTTGACCAGGAATCAAACCTGCAACCTCTCACTGCATAGGACGACGCCCAACCAACTGAGCTATACCAGCCAGGGCTCCCCCCTCCATCTTCATTTTTAACTAATTATACTTCCAAAGGGAAATAACTACCTGTAAGCCTCACTTGTCCCATCTGAGTTAAGGGGTAGGACAGGAGGTGTCTGAGGCTCTCTGAGTTTTGAGAGTGCATGGTTCTGGTCTAAGCCTGTAACATTGCCATTACAAAGTGAAACTGTTGGCAAAACTTCTAGGACAGGGGTCCTCAAACTTTTTAAATAGGGGGCCAGTTCACTGTCCCTCAGACCGTTGGAGGGACGGACTATAGTTTAAAAAAAAACTATGAACAAATTCCTATGCACACTGCACATATCTTATTTTGAAGTAAAAAAACAAAACGGGAACAAATACAGTATTTGTATTTGCATGTGGCCCGCGGGCTGTAGTTTGAGGACCCCTGTTCTAGGAAGTAAGGATCCGAAGCCTTCGGAGGGCTGAGTGGAGGTGCCTTAACTATGAGTTTCTTGAGAGCTGGAAGGTGCTGCTCACCACTGTCTCCCCAGCATCCTGCTGGGCCTGCACATGATAGGTGTTCAGCAAATATTTGCTGGTAAAGAAAGGGGTCTGTAGTGCAGTTGTGTTTTGTGACAGTTCACCTTATAGTTAGTTCACCTTGTGTACTTTTTCCTCCCAGGGTTTTAAGAGCAGTTTAAATGAATTGAGGAATGGATCCAGTCCAGGCAGTGGCGCTAATTGGTTCTCTGGGTTGCAGTGGCTGGACTTGTGTTGGTAGCAGCAGATGAAGCTAGCCACACACTCAAGCCTCCTGAGCTGGGCCTGGTGGGGGCACCGAGTGCTTGCTCACTCCACAGTTGGGCCGTCCTGGCCTGACGGGCAGAGAGCCATTAGGAACTTGTCAGGGCCTCCATCTCCATGGCTGTGAAATAAAGAAGTGGCTTGACAAGGACTCCCAGATTCTTTTTCTCTCAACGCTACAGCTCTGAGAAAGTTGAAATCATTCATTGTAACAGCAAAAAATGTGTATGCTCTTACCTTCTGCCCCCACATTTCCTGAACACGGCGTGCCAGGTGCTGAGAATACACAGATGGATGAGTAGCAGGCCACGAGCTTAAAGAGCTCATTCTCTCATCAAAGAGGCACAATTGTGTGGTTAACTCTGACTCAGAGCTGCGAGGACTGTACTTGGAAACGTGACCTCATTCGCCAGACATCTCTTCTCTTGTGTGTCCTTTCACTTCCTGGCGCTCCTCTAGGATACCAGGGAAATGGAGATGACCGAGACATGGTTCCTGCCCTCAGGGAGCTTACAGAGTAGAGAGGGAGAGGCCCATTGTGGCAGAACACAAGGAGTTCCTTGCAGAAATGCCATCCTAGGTGGTGAGAATGCCACAAGCCAGCCTGACTCAGAGCAGCTGGAGAGGCTAAAGCCGGTAGGATGTAGCTGAGGATGATGGTTTGATGGGAGGTGGGGATGAGGTTGGTGAAGGGAGGCCAAAAATATAGCTTGGGGATAGTTTATAAAAGGCTCCAAATGCAGAATTAAGGAGCCTGGACTTTCTGCAACCATTAAGAGGCCATTTAAAGGTGTGAAAGCAGGGATTGACTGAAGAGCTAGATTTGCAAAAGCTAGAACTGTTAGCAGTGAGGATGGTTGGAGTAGTGCAGAGATGCAGATGGAAGTGAATTCAGCCATTGGCCAGTGCCTGAGAGGACCATGGAGGTCCCTGCTCAGGGCAGTGGCTGGGAGATTGTAGGGAGGCAAGGGCCAGAGAGACTTGAGAGACCACTGCTTCTAGTCTTCTAATATTGCTTTTTTTTTCTTTTTTTTTTTAGCAAGTTGCTAGGAGGTGAGAATTTGCTGTGTAGGGCTATGGGCACTCCTCAGTGTTTTATCGGCATAATGGTCAGTGCTTTCCACTCACAGATAATATGAAAACTGGGAGTGGGGAGTAGGGCTCTGGGCCCGTGTCTTCTCCGTGAAGGCATTAGACTTTAGATATGAATCATGAGCGTGGGCTCCAGAGCCTTGCCAGCCTCCATGGAGCGTTCTCCTCCTAGAGAGGAAACTTTTAATGAGTCTGTGCTCATAACCATGGACCTTTCATTTTATAGAATTCACACTCACATCATCTGATCTCCCTTAAAACTTGGGACAATTACTTGCATTATTAATATTTTAGTAATCTCCCTGTACTTAAGAACAACTTATCAGACTGGTTTTATTGATTTTGTTTTATTTGGTTTTTAACTGGTTTGGAGATTTGCTGTCAATAATTCCCCCAGCACTTTCTAAGCTGCTACTATTTTGAGATTATTTGAAATCTACATTAGGACAAGGAATGTTTCTTTAATTATCTAATTTTTCTCCTTTCAGATATTTGCCGACAGGAAAAGTTGATAGATGATAAGAGAAAAGGAAACAAGAAAATAATGTACGATTAAAATGCTAATTACTTTGCTTTTCTATTTGCAGGGGAGCGATATGTGATGACATTTTTGAACGTGTTAAATTTTGGCGATCAGGGTAAGATGAAATTCTGTAGTGTTTTAATTAAAGGGGAATACTGTTAGTAGATACTTCCTAATATTTTCTCTGCATTTTGATATGATTAATGAAAATGAGCCTAGGAATTACATAAAAGGAAGATTATGAAAACATGAATCCTGAAGTTTGAAAATTGTAGGCCTTTATAAATATATACAGTCTACTGCCTCTCCCTTCTCCTGCGACCTGGGTGGCAGGTTCTCTGTTGAGATCCTGTCTTACCCTGCTTTCCGCAGAGTTCTGATGCTCATTTGTGTTTGGGGAGGTGCTAAGAGAAGAGAAAAGGGAGCTCAGCATCACAGTTACAAAGATGTACCCCATGTTTGTGTGGGTGTACTTAAAAACAACTTACCAGACTGGTTTTATTGATTTTGTTTTATTTGGTTTTTAACTGTTTTGGAGATTTGCTGTCAATCCCGCAGCACTTTCTAGGGCTCAATTTTTTCATATTTATTTTTTTAATATAACCTCGGAGTAGTGGAAATAAAAATAGGAAAAAATCCACGTGGTATTAATGACTTTTATAGAAAAGTGCTGGTGAAGGAAGTATTCTGTATCTTTTGTTGTTATTAATCCTCACCCGTGGATATTTTTCCATTAATTTTTAGAGAGAGTGGAAGGGAGGGAGAGAGACAGAGAGAGAGAACCATCGATGTGAGATAGACACATCAATTGGTTGCTTCCTGCGCATGCCCTGACCAGGGCTAGAGATTGAGCCTGCAGCTGAGGTACGTGCCCTTGACCAGAATTGAACCCGGGACCCTTCATTCTGCAGGCTGACGCTCTGTCTACTAAGCCAAACTGGCTCGGGCTGTATCTTAATTGTCAACGTCAGTGTCCTAGTTGTGACATTGTACTCGAGTTTTGCAAGATGTTACTCTTCAGGAAAACTGGATCTATTATTTTTACAACTGCACGTGACTATAGTTATATCAAAAAGTTTTAAAAATTGAATTAGATAAAAAGTTAATAGTGCTGAGAAAATTCAGAGGAAACCGAGTAGGATTGCTGTTTCTTCCTTTTGTTTTGTAGGTGTCTATGATATAGTGAATAACCTTGGCTCCCTTGTGGCCAGATTAATTTTCCAGCCTATAGAGGAGAGTTTTTATATATTCTTTGCGAAGGTGCTGGAGAGAGAAAAGGATGCCACACTTCAGAAGCAGGTAGTCCTGGTTCTTATGTCACCATCTCAAATGAACTCTCTCTCTAATTGCAAGATAAATAGACAAAAATGTGGAGCTGTCTGTTTCCCTTCTGTCTGATCTGAAATTTCCTTCTAGATTTCATTTTTCTACACCAAGCATGTCAAACTCAAAGGCTAACACGGGCCAAATAAACAAGGTTTAAGTTTATGTGGGCCGCAAAAAACCAAAAGCTTCAACTTTGATAGAAAGGTAGGTTTATTTTGATAAAGACATGGTGAATAATAAGGGTTGAAATAAATGAGTAGTCGTTAACATAAAATAATAGAACACTGTAATAAAAATTAATACTTTTTCTTGGGCACATACCCAGTGGGGGGTGTGCAGGAGGCAGCTGATCAATGTTTCTCTCTCAACGATGTTTCTAACTCTATCTTTCTCCCTTCCTCTCTGTAAAAAAGTCAATAAAATATATTTTAAAAAAAAAATCTGCTGCTAGTATTAGTGGAGAGAAATGGTGCGCCTGTGCGTAAGGCACGTAAGGGAAATGAATGCAACACGATTATAGTACTCAGTCATTAGCTAACCTTGTAGCTCGTTATTAATAATTATGTATAACAGGATATTGTAAAAATTAAATTACAGAATTTTCATTAAGACATTTCTTACCTACCGTTACGTTTTCTGGGCCGCAAAAGTATTTGTTGTGGGCCGCATGCAGCCTGTGGGCCGCGAGTTTGACTGCTTGTTCTCCACACTCTGACTGCATGCTGGCAGGACCCTGTGCTCATGTCTTCTTTCACAGCCTCTCCCTTTCTCACTGGCTGGCCCTTTCTTTCCACCCTTTGTCCCTCTTTTTGGCCTTATTCTTGACCCAGCCCTCTCAGAACTCTCGATGGCTGTCCCCAACGCAGCACAGACCCCCTCCCTGGTCTCGTCTTGGGTGTAAGACCCAGAGGTGAGCCACGGGACTCAGAGACTGGGGCAAGGCTGACTGAGAACCTGGGGAGGGAAGGACCTGGTCATTCGGCTTCTCTCACCGCACCAGTTGTTTAAGCTTCTTAAGGATGGTGAAATGGCCAGAGCTCCATTCTGACCGTGAGAATCTACATACTCCAGGTGGTAAATACAGCAGAGATTTTAATCCAGAAGCATTTGGTTATATAAACTTCCCCTTTTCTAAAACCACTGAAAATGTCTGGATACTGAACACACTGCTGGAGCGTGGTCCCCTACACCAAACGGTTATTATTTTAGAATTAAAAGCAAGCTAAGGTGGCCTCTTACATGTCTTAGACATTTGGCTAAATATAGTTTAAGCACAGTATCACAGTGAGCTGATCCGGTTCTCAGTTTGGCTTAGGAATATTTCCCAAGTGCACTGACAGGAGCCTCGGGATTTGGAGATGTTTGTCAGGAGAAGAACACGGGCAAAGGCAAAGCTAGCTAGCAGTGCAAAACAGTGCTCTCTCACTTAAGAATAAATATCTGAGGGGACATTGAGTGTTTCCTAAGAAACGTTAGACATAATTTATCCTAAATGAGTTAGACACGAAGCCGCCCCTGCACTCCCGAAGGAGGCACACATTGTCCTTTCCTTCTGTTGCTGATTGACAGACACAGCGCGGGCTGCAGAAAGCAGTGATGCCCTCACCAACTGAAGGAGTGGCCAGGAAACAGCACAGGGGAGGCCAGACGTGAGGCTTTCCTTTAGCTCATGATTCATCCAACTTCCTTCCCTCTCCCCGGCACCAGGAGGATGTTGCTGTGGCCGCCACGGTTTTGGAGTCCCTGCTCAAGCTGGCCCTGCTGACCGGCCTGACCATCACCGTTTTTGGCTTTGCCTACTCTCAGCTGGCTTTGGATATCTATGGAGGGGCCATGCTTAGCTCAGGATCAGGTATGCACGAGAGTTGCCAGATGTGTTCTAATTTCTAAACAGAAATAAGAGTCTTATGAAATTCAAGAGCTTGTGCGCACACATTGAATCTGTGTCGTCTCGGGGGAATTGTTAGTGGCGGGGGTGTGGGTGGGACTCTTCCCCTCATAGGAGGTCAGACCAGGTGGATCTGTTTCCCCACCTCATTGAAGAAGTTGCTAAGAATCCTTGCTTGCCCTGGCCGGGGTGGCTTGCTTGGAGCGTGGTCCCATACACCAAAAGGTTTCGGGTTCAAATCCTGTTCAGGGCACATACCTAGGTTGCAGGTTCTATCGCTGGTCGGGTGTGTACCTGAGGCAATGATCGATGTTTCTCTCCCTCTCCCTTCCTTTCTCTAAAAACCAATAAACATAACCTCAGGTGAGGATTAACTTTTAGAAAAAAAAAAAATCCTTGGCTTTCCTCTTAGACCTAAACTGGGTTTGCCACGTGCTCCCATGTGCCCCCTCCAGGGCAGGGGTGGGAACCTTTTTTGCCAAGGGCCATAGGATATGACTCACTTAATATAAATGTATGTTGCTATGAAAGAAGCTCCTAGATTTATTGAGTTTCGAGTCCTGCCTGCAATTGCCTGGGCAGGGCCAGACCAAATGATTTCTCGGGCCTTATACGGTGAGGGTGAGGGAGGAAGGCAGAGAGCAGGCTGTAATGAGCCTCCACTTGGTACTGAACACACTGAAGATAGTCAATACGACATAAATCTCACCGCCTGATGCATAAAAGCCTTTGAAGGATGATAACCCAGAGCTACTTGCAGAGAATAAAATTGATCTCGGCAAATAAAATTGTACATATAGTTCAGTGACTCGGTGTTTGAAGGAGGGAAGCATTGACTGTGTCAAGCTCTGAAGGACCGGGAGCCCGGGCCACCACGCATCTCACAGCACTTGCTCGGCCCCGGATGGCACCACTTTCAGGATGCGCTGGGCAGTCCATTCCAGTGTTTCCTCTTGGGTTTAGCAAAGGGGTTTTGCATTCCTCAGGTCACTAGACAAGGACCCTGACGACTTCTTTCTGCTGCCCCATCTCAACGTGAAGAGCTTTGTCAGTTGCCATTTTGTAAGTCCTAGGGCATGCTTTAGTCTCCGCTGTAGCTTTACTCTCCGCTGTGATGAGCCCAGACTTTGGTATTAGGAAAAGAACAAAGGCCATTAAGTTTGGAGAAACTCCTGCTGTGAAATCAGTGCCAGGCGTGCAGCTCCCTGGGGCTCCTGCTGGGAGAAGTGTGTTTCTATCAGGCAGCTGCAGGGAGGCCTCAGTCAGAAGCCAGTAGTGAGTCTGTGCAGACTGGGACTCAGCTGTTTCACAGCAGCTCTGCCCCTTTAGGAAGGTGATCACCTAGGAGCAGCCTTTAGTGATCCCAGGAGTTGCCAGGAGGAGAAGGCTGTCCCGTCCATGGAATGTTCACCCAGGGGAGTGAGTAATCAATCTCAGAAGACACATAAACAAACGACTGTGGATGTGTAGTCCTTTTACTCCAGTGAGATGCTGGTGCCAGGTTTGAGCTTTGATAATAACATTTATCAATTAAAAGGGTAGTGTTAGTTGATTTCTAAGGTAAAATGCCTCTAATGGTTTATGGCACAGTCATTAATAACTTTAGACTCAAAAAGGTATTCTCAGTGTCCTCTTCACAGAGAAGAGCCTTGAGAATGGTCAGATTTCTTAGTGAAAAGAGCCTGTGGTTTGGGGTGCCACCAAGTTCTTCAGGGCCATCGGCATCTCTTGCCTGGCCAGGCTGCACCAGAGTCATGTCCCAGCAGGGTCTTCTAGCCTTGTCTCCACATTATAGCTGCCTCTCATTTTGACCAAACTTGAGCCTCTGTAAAGCCCATCGTGGTTTCTGGTCGGGTCAGCGTGTCTCCCAGGGTGCCTGCTAGCTTTCCTTCCCTCGTTTCCCCTCCCCCTCGCCTCCACTCCCCCTCATCTCCTTGCCCTGCTCCCGACTCTTTGAATGGATGGCTCCCGGTTAGTTTATCCTTCGCCTATTGATGTCCGTTTGGGCTGTTTTATGTAAAACTGCTGAGGACATTTGTGTACAAGTGTTTTTGTGAACAGGTGATTTTTCCTCTGTGGGAAGTATACCTAGGGGTGATGTTGCTGGCTCACAGATTGGGCATATGTTAATTTCATTACCAGTTGCTAGGCTGTCTCTTGATAATGGCTCTCTTAAACTGGGGGTCAGTCCCATTTTTACGGCTTCTGAGCGTTTGTTAGCAGATTTTTTCGAAGCTTGTTAGTTAGCTATAGAGCTGCATTACTTTGTTATAGAAAAAAATAACATGGTGGGCTCTGGTCTCCCTGCGGATTTGTGGGTGTTCTCTCCCTGAAGCTGCCTGCTGCTCCTGTTCTCCCCAAGGTCTTTTCTTCAGGACCTTTTCAACGGAGGTTCTCTTAGCGCAGCCCTCGTGCCCTGAGTGCTCCAGCCAGCAGGCCTCTCCGTGCTGGTTTAAAAAGCGAGATTTGTTTGCTGGCCAGATAAGCTTTTAGCTGTTAAGCAAGAGACCTATGCATTTATTCATACGTATCCTTTTGTTTTTAGCTGTTTGTTTTAGTCGGTGCCATGGAATGCTAGGAGTCCTTCCAGGTCATTAAGACCATAGGCTTGAGCATGCATTTGCCCCTGATGATACCAGCTCATGACCCCCTGCTGGTGTTCTCTGGCCACCCCGCCAGCCTGAGGGTGGGTGTGGGCCTCCCGTTTGGGCTGTGGCGGCTCAGTGGGTTGTTTCCTTACAGGTCCTGTTTTGCTGCGAACTTACTGTCTCTACGTTCTCCTGCTTGCCATCAATGGAGTAACCGAGTGTTTCACATTTGCTGCCATGAGCAAAGAACAGGTGGACAGGTGGGTGACCTTAAAGACACACCTCTCATCATGGCCTTTAGCCAAAGTGAAGTAACGTGCCATCTCGTTTCTTTTCATTCTGGACCTGCCCTTACGAAAGGCTCTCTTAGAGGTGGCGCCTAGCCGCTAGCACAGCCTTCCCCGGCCTCTCCACTGCACACCCCCGTCGGTGGAGGGAGGGATCTGGGCCTGAGGGCTGTCAGTCCAGGTTTGCAGAGACGTGCACAAGACAGCTCTACTCCTGCACTTCCCTGCTTACTGCTCCAGGGGGCTACCACGGGGCTTCTCCAGGATTCAGAGTCCTGTCCCTGAACCTGACCTGTGGGTCTTTAAGAATCTCAGGATCTGTGACATTTCTCTCAGAGAAAGGCTCATGTGAACATACATGTTTTTGCCCATTTTTCTCATCCATTGACAACAGACCAGAACCTCTGCCCCAGAACCTCAAGCGGTGGTTCTTAACCCTGGTTGTGAGTCAGAATCCCCATGGGGCTTGCTAGAAATGCAGACTCCTGCCCACCTACTTCCACCACTCTCTCTCCTACCACACCTGCAGCATCAGCAGGCTCCTAACTGTGTGTGTGTGTGTGTGTGTGTGGATCTTTCATCTCTTGTGTCCAAATACCAAAAGCAGCAAGGCTGTATCTTAAGGTATCACTACAGGATGAGGTGAGGAGAGTGATGAAAGTGATAGGGAGAAGGAGAGAGAGTAGAAGGGGTGGGTGCAGGTAATGGGATGAAATGGGATGAGGAGCCCTGTTATCCCTTTGGTCCCTGGGGGGAGGGTGCATTCATGCTGCCTCTAAACTGCCTTGAGTGCTGCTGAAAGCCCTGAGGCCAGTGGTGGGGGTGGGATGGGAAAGGATAGTTCACGGAGTTGGGGAGCCCTGCCTCTCATTCAGAGCAGCCTTTCTGCCCCTGTTGGACTGTCTCACAAAGAAGCTTGTGACTTTGTTTGCTACACCATAGTTTAGAACTTGAGTCTAGGGCAGCAGACCCCAGACTGACCAGGTTCCCTTAGGAAGTTCTAGCCCCTCCTAGACCAACAGAACTAGACTCGTCGGGGCCTGGGCCGAGGGGTCTTCCATTACACAGCTCCAGGAGTTTTCCAGCGACAGCTGGGCCCGAGGAACTGCTGGCCCAAACCAGCTTTCACAGTAGAAACGACATTGAGCACTGTGACCCAGTACATATTCAGGGGCCGTGACTGAAACTTCCTGCTCTCACGAAGCAGTAAGTTCACCAGTTATGCACAGGACATGCTGATAGTTTTTAATTCTGTTGTTTCATTTTTATTATTATTTTTTGTTGTTAATCCTCACTCGAGGATATTTTTTTCTTTTTTTTTTAGTGAGAGTGGAAGGGAGGGGTAGGGAGGAGAGAGAGAGAAACATCGATGTGAGAGACACATTGATTGGTTGCCTCCCACATGTGAATTGAACCTGCAACCCAGGTATGCGTCCTTGACTGGAAATCGAATCCAAAACCCTTTGGTGAGCAGGCTGACACTCTGACCACGGAGCAACATTGGCCAGGGCTGTTGTTTTATTTTTAAACTGCCATATCATGACCCACTAAATTGATTTTCCAGCCTACTTTTTGGACACACCATATAGTTTTCACATAATGGTCTTGACATGGTATTTACTTCAGATAGTTAAGTTTAATTTTGAAATATTAAACATATATATGTAATATTTCTATTGATTTCAGAGAGGAAGGGAGAGGGAGAGAGAAATAGAAACTTCAATGATGAGAGAGAATCATTGATTGGCTGCCTCCTGCACGCCCCCCACTGGGGATTGAGCCCACAACCCGGGCATGTGCCCTGACCGGAATCGAACCCTGACCTCCTGGGTCATAGGTTGAAGCTCAACCACTGAGCCATGCCGGCCTGGCAGTGACTTGCTGCTTTGAAATCAGAGAAGCAGAAGGAGCAGTACAGTCCATCCCGTCATAGACTCCAAAGAGCTCTAGAGATGCAGAGAGAGAAGGAAGGATGTGCAAGCGTCTGGGGACACTGGAGACGATCCAGGCCTGTCCCTGTTTACATCTCATTTTGGAGGCTGATCGTTTGCTTTGAATGATGTCCACCAGCCAAGGGTACGGGGCTTCTGCATTTGGAAGGAGGTGGTGTGCAGTGCTAGAGTTTAGGGGCCAGGGGTCAGGGGAAGTGTTGGCTCCCTCCCCAGGCAAGTTACTCAGACTCCGTGTACCTGGTTTCCTTGACTGCAACTGAACCTGAACTCCGCAGGGAGGGCTGTGTGTTTATAAACAGCCCCCCCCCGCCCCCCCACGGTGCCTGACACAGAGTTAGCCTTTGTATGTAATTGTTACCCGTGTCATGTTCTCCTGCCTCACATTGAAGATTTGGGCTGAATAGGATTATTTTGTGTTTTGATTACAAAGTGCCCCTTAAATGAACCAATTATTATCCTTAAAAAAACCATAACTATCTTGAGTTGCTCATTTTCTTCAGTCTTCACCTGAGGACATGCTTTTATTGATTTAGAGAGAGAGGAAGGGAGAGGGAGAGAAACATCAGTGTGAAAGTGAAACATCAATCAGCTGCCTCCCATACATGCCCTGACCAAGAACCTAGGTATGTGTCCTGACTGGGAATAAACTGGCAACCTTTCGATGCACGGGATGCCACTCCAGCCCACTGAGCCACACCGGTCAGGACACGAGTTGTTCGTTTTCTTACTCTTCTATTCAGGGGTAGGGGGGACAGTGACATTTCCATGTTATCTTTAGAGCATGAAAATGTTATGAAAACCAGCTGGACTACGGGGACTTGCAGGTGAGTTCCATGACTGCATGTTCACAGCCACTTGTGTTTTTTTTTTTTTTGCAGTTCTGTCTGAGGGCAAGTTGTCACTGCCCCGCGTTGCTTGTTTCCCTCCCCAGGTACAACCTCACAATGCTGGCCCTGTCATCTTCATTCCTGGTGCTGTCCTACCTCCTGACCCGCTGGTATGGCAGTGTGGGCTTCATCTTGGCCAACTGCTTTAACATGGGCATTCGGATCACAAAGAGCCTTCGGTTCATCCACCGCTACTACCGTGAGAGCCCCCACCGGCCCCTGGCGGGCCTGCAGCTGTCGCCCGTCCTCCTGGGAGTGTTTGCCCTCAGTGGTGGGGTTACTGGTGTGTCAGAGGTGAGAGTCCCTGAAGCAAGCTGTCCCCTGTTCCTCCCTCTAGGCTTCCCTTCCTGCTCTGCCTGAAGCAGCTGGACAAGTATTTCCCACCTCTGTCCCTCCCCCGAAGCCTCTAGGACAGCACTTAGGATGCTGTTAGCCTTGGGGACAGGGTAGACCCTCAGCGCAGAGTTGTCAGGCCCTTGATCTGACTCGGAGTTGGAACAGTGGGACCCCTGCTTCCCCCGGCTTGCCCCAGAGGAAGGTGGCCAGGGCGGTGACGGTGGTTTCTTTCCACAGGCATTCCTCTGCTGTGAGCAGGGCTGGCTGGCCCGGCTGGCGCACGTGGTGGTGGGGGCCTTCTGTCTGGGAGCAACTCTGGGGACAGCGTTCCTCACCGAGACCAAGCTGATCCACTTTCTTAGGACTCAGTTAGGTGCGTCCAGACTTGCTGACAAAATGACGTGACCTGAGGGATTCACTGACACCTGTGCACCTGGGCCAGCTGTGGGCAGAGCACGTTTCCTGGGCAGAAGGGCCCTGCAGAGGGGTCTGCGGAGTGAGGCCCACCCAGGCTCGAGAGGCGTTGGAGAGAACCCCCCGACCAACATGGACTGTCCACCCGAAGTCTTCCTCAGGAAGCAGGGGTTCCATGTTTACGGGAAGACCAAAAGCTTTTAAAATAAATACAATTATTTTTTCCACCATTTTGTTCTGATCAGCATTTTCCTTTTGAGTGATGTATTCATTCCTTTTGGGTGTGATTGACCTTGGGAGCTACATGCTCCAACAAACTACACCTTGGATGTTAATAGTTGGTCATCTGGTGCAGAGAAAGAAGAAGCGCCGTTTTACCCCTCACCGGAATATTGGACTTATTCTCTGAAAGAAGGAAGGAAAGCTGATGTTAGGCACCAAACAAGAACAAAGGAGACCCTGGAATGTAGCTTTTCTCGTGTCAGCTATGTGGTCTGGGTTTTTAGAGAAAGAGAAATGTTGCTCAATAGAAATCCAAGCAATGAAAACATGAAGTCTTCCAGCTCCCATTTCCCGAAGTTCACTGGGATCACATGTCATCCTCGCTGTGTTCCCTGGGCCAGCACGTGCCTTCCCAGAGGTGCAAGCTGGCTCGAGGCCCCTGGCCTGGCCACCTGAAAGACAGAGTGTGGAAGGACACTGTGATCCAATGTGAGCTACCTTGTCCGCAGGAGGAAACCTTGCTTTGCAGCTGCGTGACTTCCCACAGGAGATGCACAGATAACAACCAAAGTTGAATAGCTGTATCTTTTTTTCTTTATGTAATAAAATAGGGTAAATTCTCTGTGGCAAGTAGCGCAGGCCCTTCCACTGACCCATGACTTCCAGCACTGGTCAGTACACCCGAATTCCAGCCCCAGGACAGGAGTGGCAGGCCCTCGGGCCTGGTCCTCCAGGATACAGTGGGTGTCCAGGCTGAAGTTCACCTCTCTTCACCCTCACGCACCCAACAGGCAAGATCACCAAGCATTGTTCCTAGGCAGCAAGGAGTTTTTCTTCTTTCATTAATGTACCAATTTCTTTGCATATGGTTGACCTTTGGAGCTACATACGCGAACCGTACCTTGAATGTTGGCAGTCATCATCCAGCCCCGAGGTCCCCACACTTCCTGTGTTTACACTCAGAGCAGGCTGTTCACTCAGGCCAGTCAGGGCATCTAGTACCTGACAGTGATGCGGCTAAAATGCAGGCATTTCGATCCGGGGTGGGGAATGTCGGGCCCGTGAAATCATTTGGTCTGGCCCTGCCAAGGCATTAGGGGTGAGTTAATTAAATGTTTGATCAAATGTAGCAGGCTGATTTTTAAGTTGATAATTTTGGGTGACCCACAAATGATGTTACAAATATCCAAATGGCCCTTGGCAGAAGTAAGGTTCCCCACCCTGATTTAGATCCACTGGCCCTGAGCCAGAAGGAGGGCCGAGGACCTAGACCCAGCACCACACCCAGGTTAGGGCCCAGGCACCTGCACACCTTTTTATCTATTCAAGGGAGAGTGTTTTTTTGTACTAATGGTGGTGGTGGGGGGGGGGAAGTAGCTAAATGCAAGGTGTGACTGAGCAATCGGAGGCCCTCTAAAAGCATGGCCTTCGTTGTGCTTTTGTAAGGCAGGGTCAGGCCAGCTCAGAAGAGCTGGTTGTCCCTGGGGCGGGGTAGGCGGCACACGCAGAAGGCAGCCCTCCCTCCGGTGCCCTTTTTTGTCTCTTGAGTGTGTGGAAATGTGTCTTTAGCCTTCAGAAGTTCCTTCTCTGCTGCCGCTGACCACCCTCATCCTCTAGGACAGTGGTTCTGAACCTCTGGCCCTTTAAATACAGTTCCTCGTTGAGACTCAACCATAAAATTATTTTCGTTGCTACTTCATAACTGTACTGTTGCTACTGTTATGAATCATAATGTAAATATCTGATATGCAGGATGGTCTTAGGCGACCCCTGTGAAAGGGTCATTCGACCGCCAAAGGGGTCGCGACCCACAGGTTGAGAACCGCTGCTCTAGGACCTTGTCACCCACCCCAGGCCCACCTGACCCCAGACTCAACACATGGTCTCTGAACTACCTGCCTCAGAATCCCCTGGATCAGCGGTCGCCAACCAGTGGTCTGTGGACCACTGGTGGCCCGTGAGGTCCAAAAGGTTGGCAACCGCTGCCCTGGATTGCCGTGTAAATGAAGGTTCCCAGGACCTACTCCAAACCTTTGGAATTCCATCTTTGGGGGCAGGTTCTGGGATCAGGTTTTTGGCAAACCGAGGTGGGCACACCATTTGTCCTCGTCAGTCTCGGAACCCAGTGTGAACTGGTCGTGCACACGTTCACCGCGTCCGCTCCCTGCTCCAGGAAGAGGCAGCATGGCCGACTTCCCAGGTCCTCGGGCGCAGAACCACCCAGGCTTCTACCCACCTCCAGCGGGACAGCAGCACCATTCTCACCTCTCCAAGCAGCCCGCCTTCTCCCAGGAAGGGTTTTTGGAGGGAATCACACTTTTGTTTTGAAGTGACACTTAAAATACAGCGAGGTTACTTCTCCATGGAAACAAGCCTCTAAAGTACATCCTTTTAGGAAATGAAGCCTTTGGTGGTGAGAATAACAGTGTTTGGGGGGGGGCAGGCTGTCTCTGTCCCACTCCCTGCCGCTCCCCAGCCTCATTCAAGCAGGGCACGTTGTCCTGTCATTTTCTTTTCTCTCATTTCTTTTTCTTTTTTTAATTTAAATTCTCTATTGTTTAAAGTATTACATGTATCTCCTTTTCCCCCCATTGACCTCTCCCTGTCCACTCCCACCCCCCAGCTGTCATTTTCTTTACTCATGATTCATGTTGCTGATTGCATGCCAATCCCCTGATTTTAATATCAATACATTATTTTCTTCATATCTTCAGCTCTTTCTTTAATACCCCTCCTCTTTCCAAACAGGAAGAATATTTTTCTTAAACTTCAAAGGGAAAGTAGGTAAATAGCTTTGAGTGTGTAAACCATTCTGTTCCTCACCGGATCATTTCTCCCTGCACCGACGTGACTGGACCGTGATTCCGTCTGACCGTCTGACCGGGTGGTTCCCGGCCTCTGCATCTGGGACTGAAAAGCCTGGCTTTTTTTTTTTTTTTTTTACTCACTGCTCCCCCCACCCCCAGCAGTGTTCCCATCGTTCATTGCACTTTTCTCCTGTCTTCTGTGTCTGGCCTGGCCCTTGTCTTGGTCATGTTTTTAAGTTAAGCAGCCATTCTTCGGTGGGTCAGGACTAATATCAGTAGTGGGGAGGCCAAGTGTGTGATTTTAGGCAGCGTGATTCTTAGGGAGTTCCATCCCCGATTCTATCTTCCTTAATCGGTGCTTAACTTTCCTTCCACTGAAATGAAAGGCTATTATTCCATCTCCCAGAGAAGGACCCAGTGACATCCACACAGACGAACGTGTAAAATAACCCCATCGGGGATTCTTCCCTGAGCAGCACAGGAGCTGAGAGCATCGCACATCGCACCTGAAGGAGAAGGGGCTCAGGTGAGAGGCTGTGCAGGTCCCAGAAGGCAGGGGCTCGGAGTGCTGCCAGGGGCTTCTGGGAGGCACAGACTTCAGTTACGGTGGGGGGGGGGTGTGAAGGGAGGGTGGAAAGCAGGGAGAATGTGATCCCTGGCACAGTCTTGGAGGCCATGACTGAAATGGGGCAGGCCTGGATGGGGACAAGAGAAGGGAAAGCAGCTGGGAACCCCCTCACACACCGACAAACCCTGGTCCTAGGGGAGGCCAGGCCAGAGGCAGGGCCACTGACACTGCTGGCAAGTGAAGAGAACTCCCACCAGGAGCTCATTTCGAGAACCTTTGGGAGCTGACCCACGGGCTCAGGCTGCTGCTTCTCCAGGTTCCGGTGGCTCTATGGGAGAGTTCTAGAAGACAAACCGGAAGCCAGGAAGCCTGTGGAGCCTGTCAGGAAGGACCCGGTTTGTAAAGAAGATAAGCTGAGGCGTGAATGTCCGGGGTCCCCTAGAAATGCCTCAAACACAGTAAACAGAGAACTGGAAAGAGCAACCACACAAGAACTCCGCTCTGAAACGTCACTACGCGCTGACTGTTCCAGGAGGCTCCAGGGAGGGGCTGGGATTCGGATATTGAATTTGGAAATGAGACTCCTGAGCCGATCAGATGCAGATGGAAATGACCTGTTTTACTGTGACTTACTGCACCTGGGAGAATTAGTCCTTAATGCTTTAAATACTTCATTTGCTAATTAACCTTTAGGGGTAGCAGGAAAGATGTTTTATCTGAAGAACTTACGAAGGAAACTCATTGTTTTGCATCATCAATCCGACCCCAATTACTGTAGCATAATGTCTCATTATTTACTGTCATTCATTTTTAACCAGAATTGCTTGGTATATCAAACCAAAAATGGAAAAATGGGCTTCTAATATAGTCCCTCCTTTAGGGACCTGATGAAGGAAGTCTTGTCAAGCTTCTTAATTACCCTCCGATGAATTAGAAGTTGCTGGGTGCCTGTAACTTCTCCATCCTTCTTGGGCAGTGTGGCTTACACCGAAAGTGCTGGAGGTGAGATGGAGGGGGTTCGTTGCCTTCATGAAATAGACCCTTAGCAGGTAAGTGTACCCGAGCTCCGTCCCAGCTGCTGCAGCTCCTGCACACACTTTTGGAAACACTCCCTACAGCTCGTCAAGGCTGTTACCGAGCACCGTGTTCCACCCCGAACAGAGAATTCACGTGTACAAGAGTTGTGGTTGGCTAATTGGCACCACGTTATGGTCTATAGACATTTAGACATCAGTTGTGAAGCTTCATGTGTATTTTGGAGCCAGTAAGTTTTGTTTCCATCTCAGTCGTTTCTGTAGGTTCCTGAAGAGTTGAGGGGCCCTGGAGGCTGCACCCGTGAGGCCGAATGAATGAAGGGCCTGGCGCCTGGGAAGGAGGAATGGGGCCTGTGAGGCTCCTCGCTGTGAGGCTGGCAAGTACCTGGGCACCGGGGCAGCTCCCGTACCTCCCATACCTCCTGGCTTTCTGCGGGGCGTGGATTCTCACCTCTCTTGCAGCCCAGAGGGGTGGTCAGGCTGGTGGGCAGTGAGAGGAAGAGTTCCCAGGCCAGCTTTCTTTCCACCACCTTCTCTCTTCAGCCCCCAATCTCCCCTCTCAGCTTCAAGCTCTGTTCTGAATGTGCAGCCCCTAAAGG